TTTTTAGACTTATTACTGGGATTAAATAGATAGTAGAAGATCTTAGAATTCAATAATTGTAGGATCTCGAATTTTTATGATACATTTTATCGCATCCAGAAATATTAGATAGATTTATTTTAAAAACTATAGCCGAGTAATAGGGTTTGTTTCTCGATTTGTAATCTTGTTTAGAATATAATTTCATAAACTGTTATTACGAATTTAGTTTTCACTTTATATTATTTTGTAGATTTGATTGGACTGGTGATGAAAGTTGAACCAATGATCCATATGAGGAGATTTTTGGCAGCATGGCTAATAGGAAAAGGGTAACCATTCGTTATATGAAGTGAGTTTGTGTTAAAGTTGCTTGTTGGTTAATTTCTAATAAACAGATTTTTTGTATGTATATTTTTTACTAAAACACTATTATTTGTAGTTTTAAAGATCTCGAATTTACCGTCTATGGAAATAGGAGGAGTTTTCGTCAATGATGGAGGGCCATGCTCACAAATATTGTTTGACCCTCCTATTTGCGAGGTTACTGGAATCAAAAGATGGTAAATGTTTTAAAAAATAGCCATAGTATGTATCATTATATGTGTTGAAGTGTTTTTTTGTGAAAATACTAATCTAGTTTTTTTTTTTTCCCTAGGTTACCTTTTGGTGATGATGATTTGAAGAACTACCTTTTCCCTTGAAAGTTTTTAAAAGTTTCTAATATGTTTTGTTACAATGTTGGACTTCAATCAGTTTTTTTTTCTTCTTATGTAATTGTTTTTTCCGTCTAAAACTATGTTAAGTTTGTTTCATAATAAAACTCTGTTATATCTTTTATATTATCTCAACTCTTTACTATAGAACATCATTTTATATCTTTTCTATCTATAGTTGTCTATTTTTGAAACGAATCAATTTTTATTTACAAACACAAAACTAACGTTTTCTAAGATTTGAATATATGATATGCCACACTATGTTAAAAGGCAGATACAATTTTGCACACACAAAAAATATTCCTGCACAAAATGCGGATGAGAATCTAGTATATCCTATAACAAATAACCAAATGTTG